TGTCTTAATTTCAATTGCTTGTATACTTTTTAAGAAATATTAGATTAGCACCTATTTAGCACCACACAAAGACCTAGCAAATAAGGTGATCTAAGACTGAAGAAGGCATTTTCAAAGCCGAAGATGAGGAATGTTAAGGAGGTCATTCTCAGAGCCTGAGATGAAGAATGTTAAGGATAGTTTTAACTTACTCACCAAAAAGATTAAAGATGAGGAAAGTTAAGGAAGCAAGAGCCTTTGTGTTAACCATATGTTGAATTGTAATTTCCAAGTAGTGTCCCGCAGTGTTTGAGATAAAATTTTGTTAACATGCTCATATGGAACTTTGACAAATAACCATTTTGTACAATTTTTGAATTTTTAAGACTAATTTGGGAGAAAATAAACTTTCTAGACCAAAGTCATAACAATCAAAATAGTTAATACATCAAATATTTAAATTTAGTCACTTGGCTTGGGGGGTGAAACAACATTCAATAGGGAGTATCTTGAACCAATTTATTTGTAGATGTTTCACTTTTTTTATCTTCTACCTCTCCACACTTTCCCATGCATTTACACACCATGAGACTGACATTAACAGCCCGCTTTCTAATGCAATTACAATTGTGATAAGAGTTTTACCATGTAACTCCCCACTTTATAGGTGATTAAATCATGTAATCTATGTAACTCCTACCACCAATTTATTACTTGGGTTGTCTCTCTATAATTCACACATTCTCTTCCATTATTTTTCCTTTATTTTACAACATAATAAACATTATGAGACAATGTAAATAATCAAAACCAAAAGTATGAAACAATTTAAATAATCACAAAGATTTCTTTGAGGTATTACTTGTCCTTGTGTATCTTAGATATTTTTATTTTTCACAATTCCTTCCCTGCCAAAAAAACCTAACAGAGGAAAGATTTGCAGAAAAAATTAAGAGCATTTGAAACATTCATAACCCGTTGGAACTCCAATACTCATGACTCAAGAAATCGATGTGGAAATTGTTGTTGGAGTTCGAAGAACTTGTTGCAGTAACCGTGCTGCTAAACGCTGACTGATGCCACCAACAACACGGCCTCCTAGATTACGTGCTTAGGGTTGTTGAAGGACCTGTCCATTATGTTTCTTCAGTCATCACAATGTCAAACAAAATAAAACTTCAACTGAAAATTTAGATAATCATTGTTAGCTTATTCTGTGTAACAGTCCTCTCTTCATGAATTTTAAGCTTTAGTTTAAAGAAGATGCCCTTCTTTTTCCAGAAAGGAGACAATGCTTTCTATACATTAGTAGAATCTAACAAACTCAGATAAATAAGTGAAAGTTAAAATAAACCGTAGCAGCCATTCTTGAACCTATAAATTTAAATATAGGGTTCTGGAAAAAAAGAATGCTACATGCCAGGTATCAGTGAATGAACTCATTAATTTAAACAACAGAAAAATATGTGACAAAGTTCATGCTTTCAAAATTTTCCAGAGGATTGTCCTTAACCAAGAAATCACATTAAAACAATAGATTTGACTTAAAATAAAAAAATGACCAAAGAAAATAGTGTAATACATGAAAGATGGATGAATTTCACTGGAAGTGAGAATTTGAAATTTATCACATAAGGATTTTTTTTTGGCCAATATCATAGCAGAATTATCACAGCACAATATGTTCTTCCTCTCCTAGATACAACAAGAAGGGAAAAAAGACATGCTTCATTTGCAGATATCAAGGATCACTCAGAAAAATGGTGATAAGAGTCTTCCTAATCATAATTGTATAATGCCAGATTACAATCCAGGATATCATCAAGTAGCTTTTGTACTCTGCACAGCAGATATTGTCAACACCTAAGTCCTAAACATACTAAACCATACCACAGACAACATATATCATCTTACCTGCAATATAGGCTGCAAAAGGGCTGGATCAAAGTTTTCAGAGGAACGTAGAAGAACCCAGATCCTGCAGACCTGGTCGCGAAGTTCTAACATGCTTCCCAATTCAGTGTCACTCAGTACAAGAGGTCTGCTAGTATTGCCATTGGGTATTAGAGCACGCACAAATTCAGGCAAAGACTTGTATGTATCAATAAGTGAGCCTAGCATAATAGCCTCAGTTACACGGACAGCCTCCTTAATTACTAAAGTCCTGAGCTCTTCACCATCTGGAGCCAGTAAAAGCTTCAGAACAGGTTGGAGAGCATCTTTTGCAGAAAAATCTCTGTCCTTTCTTCCCTGAACAAGAAGGTTTTCAAGTCTATTCCACCTGCACTAGATTAAAATTAAGACTATCAAGCAGGTCCATGGCATCAAAATATATGCACAGCCAAGCAGCAAATGCACAAGGATTAGCAATACATGCCTAAACCTCCCATCCTTGAAAAGCAACTCAATAAGAGCATCCCTGAGATATGGATTTGGATCTGTGAGGAGTCTTTTTGCAAAATATGGATATGAAGCAGCTAGCACCTTAAAATTAGGATCAGCATAAAGGGCTAATCCTTCCAAAACAGTGAGTGACCTCAATATCAGAGCATAATATGCAGGGACTGCAAAAAAATTGATCAGATGAAGCATTAGGCCAATTATGCTATTTCATGTTAGAAGGAAACACAAACTGCAATAAGTTCTGATCTCACTTACACTGGAATATGGGGGGAAAAAAGATGAAAAACTATGACTTACATAATCCCTCTGTACCAAAATAACTGTTGTTTTTTAACTGTGAATTTGTCCCAAATTAATTGTCATTTTTTCATTTTTCAAGGTAGACACATATGTTTCCTACCTTAATCCTATCATTATCTTCTCATTTTAATTAATCATCCAATCACAAAAAATCTTTTTTTTGTCTTTTATTTCTAGTTTAAATGTATTATAGATAAAAAGAAATATTGTCCCCAAATCCTTAATTTGAGAAAAAAAGTCAAAAAAAGACAGTTATTATTTTGGGGCAAATGAAGTAATAAAATTCACAACTTAGGCAGATTAATATAAGAAAGAAAATGAACACAAAAATTAAAGGCCCATTATTTGGGTCAATTTCTTTTTGAAAACATATGCACAAAATTTCAGAGTAGGGCTCAAAAATTAAGAACAAACTGCATAAACTCACCATTAAATGGGTACTGATATAAAACAGCACCCAGACCATCTACTAATCTTTTGAAGTTTAGTTCACTGACGGTGTAGTTAAGTACATCATCAAAGAAATCCCGAAGTGCTGGAACAATTGGAGAAACATCCACATCTGGTGATAAGAAATCTAAAGCATAGTAATCACGGGCCATTGCTTCATAATCTCGATTGACCATGTGAACAACATGACCAATGATAGCAGATCTTGCTTCTTCTGGGGTTTCACTCATCATTCCAAAATCAAGAAAAGCAAGTTTTTCCATCAGGTGTTGCCAAAAGATTGCCAGGATGAGGATCTGCATGAAAATATCCATACTCAAGTAGCTGCCTAAGGCTACACTGAATTCCTGTATTCACCAGATCCAACACCTTCAGACCCTGTCTCTCAATGGCATCTTGCTCAGTTAGTTTAACTCCATCAACCCACTCCATCGTCAACACTTTTCCACTAGTATAATCCCAAAAGATATCTGGAACAAGGATATCTAGTAAAAATCCTCCTCAGTTCAGCAGCTCGCTTTCTCTTATATTGATCCAACATCCCGTACCTTCGATCGAGCAAGAGTTTAAAAGCAAACGAACCTAGGGCTACCACAATTTCCAGAGTCCTATGCAATACCTAATCATTGTAATTTTCATCAAAATCTAAAGCATCCATCAAAATTTATCTTGCAAATAATAATTTACTGTGGAAAGGGAAAAACAGGTGACCTGGATCGGGCGTGACCCGTACTTGCGTGCCAGAAGTTCGGGGCTATAGACGGAAGCATTGGCGGCGCGTGCCGTGGCCCTGGCCTCCGCTTGTAAATCCTCGGCTCTATCCCCTCGCAACAATTGCAACGCCACCGAACCATTGGCCTTGGGTCTGGCTTCCACCAGAGCAGCTCGGGGTCTCCATCATGGTCTGGAAACCGGAACTCTTGCTCCGAAATCCCAGCTAACGAATCTTTTGCTTATCAGAATTGTCTTCCACCAAAAATTACTAATTGTACTCTTAAGGGATCGTAGAAACCCCTTACTAAGTTTCTATCTGTTTATTTTTGGAGTACATTTTACCAAAAATTATCTAGTTTCTATCTGCATGAAAAAACAAATCTATCTGTTTTAACTCCAACTCTTACTGTGTAAGGCTGGCTCCAAATCATTTGGGTCACTACTTACCAAATAGATTTTTGTCTGGCCAACAACTTCTTTGCTTGAGCAGTGAGCAATGAGCAGCAAGCAACAGCGTGAGCAACGGCAGCATAAAATCGAGATTTCAAACAATTTTACTATAAAATCGTAACTTTACGATTTTACCCCTAATTTTATGAAAATCTAATTTTAACATAGATTTTATTCGGAATACATACCTAAAATCATAAAATCAAGCAATTTTATGATTTATAATGCAATTTTGACAACCTTGGTTGTGACTAAAGAAAAGGTTTAAGTACCATTTTGGTCCCTTAACTTGTCACTTTGGTACCAAAATTGTCCCTCAGCTTTAAAAAGTACCAAAATTATCCTCAAACTTTCATTTTCGGTACCAAAATGGTCCTTCC